ATTTATGTTTGTGGTTGTAATGTGACAAAATATGGAAAAGTTCAAGGGGTATGAATAGTTTTGCAAACCACTGTATATGCAGAAAAAGTCATATTTCGCTAAGAGGATACTAGGATGCTTTCTCATTCCCTGAAAAGTTGTTTTGTACTGAGCCCGCGAGGGGACATGGGGTATTTTTTTTTCTTTTTGCGTTCCCTCGCAAAAGTAGTTTATCACTGTTGTGCCTGCCGGTTTATTAACAAACTCACTTGTTCACCATTAGTGAGTTAGCCTACTGCTTTAATTCAGCTTCAGAATAAATATATCACACAGCCACGCATGGACGTATGTCATATGCAGATATTTTAACAGTGCAGCCACACATCAATGTCGATTTCACGAACTTGTGGCGACACTTCCTGTTTTGGTAACTGGATATTTCAAAATAAAAGTCTGATTTAATTCAGTACATATACAAATCAAACTTTTGCGTGGGAATGCAAAACAATATTGCGAGGTAACGCAAAAGTATTGCGAGGGAACGCGAAAGTATTGCGAGGGAACGCGAAAGTATTGCGAGGGAACGCGAAAGTATTGCGAGGTAACGCAAAGGTATTGCGAGGGAACGCGAAAGTATTGCGAGGTAACGTTAAAGTATTGCGAGGGAACGCAAACGTATTGCGAGGGAACGCAAAAGAAAAAAATCCCCCCATGTCCCCTCGCGGGCTCCGTAGTTTTGGAACGTTGAAGGTTTCTGGTACAGTATCTATAATTCTAAGGCAGTATTTGCAATAGGTCTTTGTTTTAGATTGTACAAGGTTTTACCAAAACAAGGTTGGGTGTTTTTCTTTCTGCACTGTATTTTTTGTGCTGATTAATAAAGTGAGCAACCATAGAGCTCTGTTCTAATTAAAGTTGAACAGTGAGACTAAGGAAACAATGCAGAGTGATTCAATAATGGACCCGTGGTCAGAAGACTTCCTCTGGACTTCTTGCTATTCTATCAGTGGACAGAGTGATGGAGATCCGCTCCATGAAGAGACAAACACAGGCCGACCGGGAGGATGCTTCTGTCAGTGTGTGATCTTCTCATCACAAACCTGTAACATTCAGCTGTCCACACTCTCTGCAGGATTTTTGACTTGCTTTCATTGTGCTGGCTCTATTTCCCTCAGCGACTTGATGCTGATGCAGTCTTTGACAAGCCTGTTGTCCTGGAGATGTGCTGCTAGTCCTTCATGTGTTTCTTTCTTTCCTCCTCTGAGGCTGAACTAGCATGGAATGAGATTGAAGGATAGATTTCTCACACATGGTGGCCTTGCTTTGTGATGTAGAAAACATGAAGCTGCTTGTCTGTTCCACTCTGCTGCTGCAGCCCGCTCCTCCTCCTCCTCCCCTTTCCTCACGCTACACATCGTGCCCTTGTCACTCACCCTTTCTTTCCTCTTCTGATTTTCGTTCTCAGAGCGGTTGGAGCCGGGGGCATCTGTGACCGTGTCCATGGGTATTGACTTCAGCGACTCAACACAAGCAGCAAACTTCCACTTATGGTAAGACAACCTGAAACCCACTCATGTCATTTATCTCACCGATCAGGTCAAATTTTCTGTCGTCTGCCACTGAATCCTAAGAGTCACTCAGGTCCAAGATGGCTGCCACCGCATAAATTGTTGCAAAGGCAGAAATGGCTATAAATTAGTCAGTTTTTCAGATTATGAGCTAAATTTTGGTGTGTTAGTAGCTGACACCAATCCTAATCTTACACACTGAACCAGTGGTGGATGCTGGTCTTTCAACAAGAGGAAGCTCAGATTCGGCCTACATCATAAAATGTGTGGGTTATAAATTCTACCCTCTGTTCATTTTCAAGAAAATGATCTGTGACCCTGTCACAGATCATTTTGTTTAGTTTATGGTATTTATTCATTTCATTTTAAAAAACAAAACATTACATACAACAAAACAATACAAATAAAATAAAGGCAGCAGCAGAAGAAAAAGATCTAAAATATTAATTTCAAACAATACACCAAATAATAAAACAAAACAAAAATAATTCAACTCCTCAAACAGTGACTCATACAAATAC